CAGCGACACCCCGGCCTGGGACCCGGGCCCTTTAGAGCTCCGGCCCCGGTCTCGAGATCCGCAGCTGCTCGGCTCGTCCGAGCCTTGTGCCGCAAACTGACCGGAGTGTGACAACGGGGTGCAGATGTCACGCCTCGCGGAAGGTTTGGGGCACCGTCCCGTCCGTGTCCGGCTAATAAAGAGAAATCGGAAACTGAAAGCTTTTTAGAAACACGTCACGCCGGGCGAGGGGCGGCTGGGCAGGGTGGGTTTTAAAGAAGTCTGTGCAGATGAGTTCTTATTTGTCCGTTTTCCTTCCTGTGCTACCACGGGGACGAGGCCGGGCGTCTCCGCCGAGGTCCCCACTGCACCCACGTTCTCCCGAGACGCCCTGGGGCCGGAGGTTCTCCTGCACCCAGTGGCTTCCCCTTCGTCCGACTGTTCCCTTGCACCCGGGTTCTCTCCCACTTTTAGATATTGTCTCTAGATAGCCCCTGAGTGCAGGTATCGCTCGCTGTCCAGCAGTCTCCTGCACGTACTTCCTCCCCTCTGTATAGTCCTCAGTGTGAGGAGGCTGCGAGCATCTGATACTCCCTTCATCTACGTACGCCTCTGTGTACCCAGATCCTCTGCCCCGGATACTCCCCGCCATCAGATACTCCTCTGCCCCGGATACTCCCCAACTTCAGGTGCTTCTCTGCCCCGGATACTCCCCGCCATCAGATACTCCTCTGCCCCAGATACTCCCCAACTTCAGGTGCTTCTCTGCCCCGGATACTCCCCGCCATCAGATACTCCTCTGCCCCGGATACTCCCCAACTTCAGGTGCTTCTCTGCCCCGGATACTCCCCGCCATCAGATACTCCCCTACCACTAGATGCTGCAGCATCCATCCAGGCTGTCTCTTCCATCCGGGTACCTTTGTATTCAGATACTCCACGCACGCGTTATGAGCTCGCCAGACTCAGATGTGTGCCTTCCCCCCAGACACTTCTCTGACTCCGGATAGCCCCGTGCACCGAGACGTCCCTGGACCCAGATACCCTCCCCCATCCCGAACCTCCTCCCTGAGTCCCTGAGCTCCTCCCGATCTAGCTTACTCTGCACCGAGGTGCTCCCTTGCTCCTAGGTTCCTCCTCCTCCAGATACTCCCCGAGTGCAGGTCTCCGCTCTGGCCCGGACGCAACCTGTGTTCCGATACCTCCCGTCCGGCTACTGCCAGGCCTGCGCGCTTCCCTGGGTCGAGATCCGCCCCGAACTCGGATGCTCCTCAGCTCTGCACTCCGGTGTGCTCCTGTGCGCAGGTGCCCCTCTGAGCGTCTGCCCCTGTAGGTGCTCCTGTGAGCCTAGGCCCTCCTCCCATCCCCAGGCTCTTCCCCCCTGTTGTCCGCGTTCCGTGTGGGTCGTACGTCACTAGTGCAGCTGTTTCTGTAGCGGTTACAGGAGCAGGCTCCTCGCGTGTGAGACCTGCGTCAGCATGATGCCAAACCACCTCAGGAGGGAGAATTTCCTTCTATAATTCCCGAGTCGTGTGGCTTCTCAACGAAAAGCCTGTGTGTTTTTCTGCTTTCTGTGGAGATGTTTCCAGGCTTAGAAGCATTCCTTCTGTAGGGCAACCCCTGCGCAGTAAGTCTCCCAAACCCCGTGCCGCTTCCTTTCCCAAGAGAACAGTTATTCTTATTAGCCCATTTTCGAAGGGCACGATGTTAACACGTGGCATCGTTGAGGCTCTTTATGCCTTCATTTGTCCTATACGAGGAAGGATGCGATCCTGAAGCTCACGTGTCAGGTTTATTTCACTTAGCGTCATCACCTCAAGGTGCATCCCTTTTCTGACACGTGACTCGAGTTTATCCTTCTTCGGGGCAGAGTAGTACTCCATGGTGTGTCACCGCTTTGATTATAGGTTCATCTGTTCACGGACCTAGAAGGCCGCTTCCAAGATTTCTCTTCGGTACATCAGGCTGCTGTAAACCTGGGTCGTTCTCATATTTAATAAAAGCTAGAGTTCTCCTTTGATTTCTGTTCTAATCTCATCCAGCGTAGAAGCCCTGGTTCTCCAAGTGGGCTTGACTTTATTTGTCTGTTTTCTTTCCTCCTGGAAATGGGTCTTTCTGCAGCGGGAGCACAGACCAATGGATGGAAAGCTCATCCAGAGTAGGGCAGTCGCAGGGGGCCCCAGCTGGCCACAGACAGTGACCCGTCGGCGTGGCAGCCAGAGCTCACGGGCGCCTGTGCTCGGAGGGATGGGGTCACCAGGCCGGTGTGGACACTGCCACAAACCACTCAGCCCGGGGTGAGTTGTCCGCACTCATTCTGGGTCTCGTGCTCGGAAACCGCTAGCGGCAGGGGCCGGCAGTCTGCTCAGGTCGGGATGGAGCACGCCTGGCCTACGTCGCGTGACCCACGGACAAAACCGGCAGCTTCCCTTTCTGCGGTGTCCGTGGTGATATAACCGTGCAGCTGATCCATTTGGCCTCGTGGGGGAGGCTTCTGGCTTTGACCAGACAAACGCACTGAGGTCCCGCTAAGTGGGGAACTGGGTCAGGGTACTCGGTGCCATGGGCATCTCCGACGGCCACACACCAATGATCCAAAGGAGTCCCGGTGGGCGGCCGACATTTCCTCAGCACCTCGCCTACTGGACAGGAGTAGGAGAAAATGGCGCCAGTTTAGGATTCTTCTTAGAAGCCTTGGTCCTCTCAACGATGCTGGACGTATTCTAGCACTCTGGGAGGCTGAGGCAGGAGGATCACAGGCTGGAGCCCAGACTGAGCAACTCAGTGGCTTCAGGAGAACCGGTCTCAAAATAAAAGAAAACTGCCTTGGAAAGAGCTCAGTGCAAAGTCTCAGTGGGTAAAAAGCAGACGAGCAAAAGCAGGTATTTTAACAATACACCTAAGTGCGACTCATCTGTAAATCTTGCTTTCTAGAAAAGTGTCAGTATGAAGTAGGATCAGTTCCTCTACGGAGAATTGGATGGCGGTCTGTGTAGAAAGAAGGTTCATTTCACATTGGCATCAAAATAAAAAAATGCCTTTAAAAAAAATAAACGGATGTCAACTCTGTCACAGGTGGGCGTTTTGATGCCAGATGTAAGGTATGCGGCTCAGCGGCGGATGAGATACATCCTGGCAGACAGAAGAGCGTGGTGTCAGGGCATCGGAATTCCTGTGCAAAGCAAACACTCCGGGCTCTGGAAAAGCAGAATACAAGATTCACTCGAGAGGGAATAAAGGGCCCAATCGTGAGGTTTTTGCAGGAAAATAGAAATGCAGACTGACGTGTTAGGAAAGACAGGGCCCAGCTTGGAAAGTCAAATAGAATATTTTTTAATCCCAACATTCTGGGAGGCTGAGGCAGACCACGGTTCCAGCCCAGCCTGGGCAACTCAGAGATTCAGTGAGCCTTTGTCTGAAAAATAGAAAGAAGGGGCCCAAGATGCCACTCTGCAAAATCCCCGAGGAGTTTGATTCCTAGTACCAGAAAAAAACGTCAATTCACAGCACTGCAGATGATGTTTTTACTTAGATTTATTTCCTTGCAACTCTGCAAATTTTATTTTTTTAAAAATCTTTTTTTTTTTAATTATTGCCCGCTTCTTAGTTGAAAAGTGGCATTTGTCTTGCATTTTTACCTTTGCGTTCCGGGGGAGGTTGAAAATCTGAGTTGAAATTGTCAGCGCAGTGCCAGTGCCAGAAATCACCAGATGGACCCTTTCTGCGTTTTTGTAGCTGTTAGTGGTCCTTTCCTTCCTGATTTGTAGCAACTCTTTACGTGTTGAATATAGTTCCCTTTGGCGCACGCCTGTAATCCTAGCACCGGGGAGGCTGAGGCAGGAGGATCTTGAGTTCAAGGCCGGCCTGGGATACGAAATGAGACCCTGGCTCCCCAAAGCAGCAAAGACAAAAACAAAAACAAATCATGACCCATACACGGAAATAAAGAAGTAGAAGGGAGAACAGAACGGACGGGGAGGGAGTGGGCAGGGGAGAGGGACGGGAACTAGGCAGGGTGGTTGTTGAATTTATTGTACCTTTGAATGTTTAGCATCCTCGCATTGCCCTTTTTATTGTTTTTGTGCAGGGAAATTGTGTAACGGTTTCCAAGCTTTACGCTACCTAAAGCTTTTCCATCTCGCTGTCGTTTAAAGAAATGCGTATTTTCTCAACCCTTCTTGGTTTTCGTTTTGTTTGCGGCACTGGCCACAGAAAGCTGGGCCTTTGCGCTGCACAACAACCCGAGCCCTCTTTTATTTGTGGCGGGGCCATCGACGCCTGACTCGAGCTCTTCGCTGCGGTTACGCGTTGCCGTCTGCAGGATTGAAAAGTTTGTGTTTCAGAAGCTTGCCAGGCAGGTGCGGTGCCACCGAGCGACATCCCCGGCCCCGTGGGTTATTTTTCATAAGCACATTTATCAGGAAATGGTATTAAATTCAATGAATCAAGCTTTTTTTTTTTTTAAAGCATTCTGCAGGGGTGACCGTATGGTTTTCTCCTTTGGCTGGATCGATACGGCCAGTTACGTGTAGTTTTATGTATAG